AGTCTTTCCCGTTTTCTGAACGAATAAAACCGAAATGAAAAGCGAAGAGGAAAGAGAGGAGAGGAAGCACATAAGGGGAGGTAGGAGCGGGAAGGAAAAAAAATTTTTTTAATCCTTTCGACCGATCGACCGACCAAACAAACAAAAAAGTTCGAAAGGTGATGATTGCTTACTTGATGGCGTGCGTATGTGTATTTGCTCGCGTGAAAGACAAAGACAGCATCAGAAACAAGAGGTAGGGAAAAAAAAATAAAAGAGAGAAAGAGAGAGAAAATCATCAAATTTTTTTAACTTTTCCAAACAAAAAATCGAACGTATGTGCCCCCCAACTCTCTCTTTCTCTCTCGCACGCGCGTACGCATTTCCAACGCAGGATATAATAAATAAATAAATAAAAATTTTTACTTTTTTTTTTTTCCTCCAAAATTCGATTCCGTCGCATGACAGAACAACAACAACAACAACAATAATGATAATAATAATAATAATTTGTCCAGATGACTCCGGATTTGGAAATGGAAGGATAAATCGGGAGAATTGTGGATTTGGGGGGGGGAAGGGGAAAGGGGAAGCTGGAAAACGGAAATGAAAAAAAATAAAAAAAATTTCCCTCTCACTTTCATTCTCTCTCTTCTTCCCCCCGCTCACCCCCGACTCCTTTCAACGACCGGACCAAAAACTTTCTCTTTCGGAGGAGAAGGAGGAGTAGGGAAGGAAAAGGGGGCGAGAGGGAGGGAGAGGGGAGGGAATAAACTTTTTATTTATTTATTTTCATTCCTTTCGTTTTGAATCTTTATTAATGAATGGAATTAAATGGCGTTAAAAAAAAAATTCTCCAGAGAATTCCAGTTAAATAAAAAAAAAAAAAAATTCATTTCGCTTTTTCTTTTCCCCTCGCCCGCCTCCCCCTACTCCTCCTACTCACAACTTTTTCTTATTCTTATTTTTCCTATTTTTAAGAACTTTATTCCCGGAATTTTTTTTTTTTTTTTTTTTGGAATCGGCCTTTTCATTTTTATTATCATTATTACTTTTTCAAATTCTCTCTCACCCTCTCTAACCCTCACTCCCCCTCCCTTACCCCCTCTCTTTTTTTTCCTTTTCTTTTCATTTTTGGCAAAATTTCAACTTGGTTTTCATTTTCGCGTTCGCGCACACGACGACTACAACGACGACGACAACAACAACAACAACTTGCGACCGACCCTTTTTTGTATTTTTAAAAAATTTTCCAAAATTCGAAACTTTTCCAAACAAACTTTTCCTTATTTCCTTTTCCGCAAAATTACGTCATTTATTTAAAAAAAAAAAAAAAAAAAAAACAGGGGACCTTTTGACCTCGTTAAATTTTTTGTTTAAAAAAGTAAAAAAAAAAAATAAAATAAAATTAACAGAAAATAATTAGAACGTAACGAAGGAGAAATTAAAAAAAAAAAGAAGAAAATTATTTAAGAAAACGAAAATCTGGAAAAGAAAAAAAGAGAGAGAGAAAGACGTAGAGAGAGAGAGAGAGAGCGAGAGAGAGAGATAGAGACGTAGAGAGAGAGAGCGAGAGAGAGAGATAGAGACGTAGAGAGAGCTAAAGAGAGAGAGAGATATGACGACGTTGAACAAAAATGTTATAATACTAATTAAACTAATTTAAAAATTTAACGTTTGTTTTATTGTTTTTTTTTTTTTCATTGTTTCTTGTCTCCCGTTCGCTCGTTCGTTCGTTCATTCGTTTCTTCGCTCACTCCCCGTTTTCTTCCCCCTCCCCCCGCCACTCCCGCCTTCCTTGGATTATCTTATCAGTCAAGGAGTTCATCTCCGAAATTGAAAATTTCCACGGGAGAGGAAAAAAAAGAAAAAAATTTTTTTTAAAAATTTTATTAAACCGACGACGAAGAAGGAGGCGATAAAAATGTCAAAAAGGTTCGAGTTTGGGGAGGGGTGGGGGTGGGAAGAGAGAGAGAGAGAGAAAGGGAAGATTATCAAACCAAAGGGGGGAAGAAGAAACCTTTTTTTTTTTTTTTTTTTTTTTTGATTGAAAAAATCACACGTAAATAAGCTTAAGCTCACGAACGTGGAATGAACTGGAAAAAAATATAAAATAAAATGACGATGATGATGATGATGATAACGACGACGACGACGTCGATAGTAATAATAATGATAATAATAATAATAATAATAATAAAACCTTCCAGCTAAGTAAAAAAAAAAAAAAGGAAAAGGAAAAAAAGGAAAAAATGAGGCCAATACAGGTGTGTAAGAAAATTTCACGCTCCTCTGACTTTTTCAATTTCTCGCAAAAAAAAAAAAAAAACTCTAATCGAATATTAACTCGAGTCAAAAAGAAAGAAAAAAAAAAATTAAAGAAATGAACGAATGAAAAAAAAGAAAGAAAGAAAGAAAGAAAGGAAAGACGAAGGGTGGAAAATAAGAAGAAAAAGAAGAAAATTTCAATTCGACCTCTCCTACGTGAACGGAATGATAACAAAATGTAAAACAATAAAGTCAAGAGAAAGAAAGACAAGAATAGACAATAAGGGAGGAGAGCAAACGACAAAGACAACGACGACGAATACGATGATGATGATAAAAAAGAAAGAAAGAAAAAAAGGTAGGCGGCAGGTAAGGAGAGGAAAAGAGAAAAGGAACACGAAATGGAATCGAATATCGAAAAATAAGAAAAAAGAAAAAAATTAATGAATGGAACAAAACGTGTTCGGAGAAAACGCACGCACGCACGCACGCATGCACGCACTTCAAACTCAATACGAACGCAAAAAGAAAAAAAAGAGAGAGAGAGAGAGACAGAAAACGAGACAGAGACAGATTAAAAAAAAAAAAATTTTTCTAAAATGAAAATAAGTTGTCAGTTAACATAAAAAGAATTCGAGTCAAAGTTCGAAAGAAAAGAAAAAAAAAAGAAAGACAGAAAATAAAAGAGAAAAACAATAAGAAAAGAAAAAACCGTGGAAAACTTTTTCGACAGAATTCGATTTAAAAAAAAAAAAAAAAAACATAAATAAACAAATAAAAACAAAAACAGAAAAAAAAAAAAAAAAAGAAAAACATTAATTTTTCGAAAACGAGATTCGAGAACGATAAAGAAGAAAAAATTTTTTTTCGATTTAATTTAAACCTTTCAAGAAAATGTTCTCGAAACTTTTCCTTTTTCTTTACTTCCGCACAACAAAATTATTTCCCCGTAGAAAAAAAAAAAAAAAGAAAAGAAAATGAGTGACGTCATAGAAACACGTACGACAATCAAACTGTGTGAGAAGGGGGCGGGAGAGAGGGAGAGAGAAAGAGAAGGAGGGAAGTTTGTCGCCACTTTAAAAATTACAACGCGTTCCCCCGAACGAAATCATTATTAATAATAATAATAATAATGATAAACAAAGATTTCATAACAATTTTTTTTTTTTTTTGGCAAGGGAACAATCGTTCAACCGTTGGCCATGACCATTAACCGTCGTCAAAATGCATTTCACGCACTCGCACGCACGCACACGCACGCACATTTTCATGTTTTTTTTTTTTTTGAATTTTAATTCGAATCGCGCCAAAAATTCATCCGCATAATTTTAACGTTCGTTCCACGACGAAACCATCCATTCTAAAATTAATTTTAGTAATTAAAAAGAACAAATTAGAAATCCGATCTATATCGATTAAATTACGATAATTTTCACTCTTCGTCACCATTTTCTTCCCTCCCCTCTCCTCCCCTTCTTCCTCTCGCATGAAAACATTAAAATAATTTTTTTAATTAATGAATATCATCGTTATCGTTATCATCATCATCATCATCATCATTTCGACCGGAAACGAACGACGCGTGCATCGAGAAACGTCATCACCCATTTCCTCCCTTTTATTTATTTATTTATTAATTATTCTTTCGTTTTCTTTTTCAATTATTTGATTATTCGACTCTAACTATTGACGTCATAACGACTATAACGATGACGTCATAACGGCTGCGTCATAACGGGACACACAAACCAAAAAAAAAAAAAAAAATTTAATTTTAATCCACTTAAAACTACCATTTTTTTTTTTTTTTTTTTGTAACGGAATTTTAACGTCAGACGACGTCTACTCCCTAATTAACTCGAAACGGAGTAACAAATTGCTTCAATTACACCGTACACCCCCCTCTCTCCACCCCACCCCCACATCTCTCTCTCTCTCTCTTTCTCTTAATCTCACGCATTTTTTCCGTTTGCGTGTGTGCGTGTGCGTGCGCGTGTGCGAGCGTAATGTCACCTACAACAACACATGCAATCTCGAATGACCGAACGAACCGTGTCTGTCCTTCCGTTCGCATTCTTTTTCTTCTTGTTCCCTCACCTCACGTTCCCTTCCTTTCCCTATTTTCATTTTTGTTTCTACGAATCTAATTAATTATTTAAATTACTTAAATTATTATTATTATTATTATTATTTCGCGTAAAATCCGGTTTAACATGGTTGACCTATAAAAACAAAAAAAAATTCTTTTGCCAGATTTTACTATGACCGATTGCTTTGCTCGCAACTATATGAGAAAAAAAAAATGTTTAATTTTTTTTTACTTATATTATTATTATTATTATTATTATTATTATTATTATTATTATTATTATTACGAGAGAAACAAAAATAAATTCAATGTGACCCGGGGTGACCCTAGGGGCTCAGGGCAACATGCCAATTTCTTGTAATTTCATTTGTCAAAAAAATTTTCATTTCCGCCTTTTCGAGTCTCCGCAATCAGTAGTAGTCCTTTTCATCTCGAATTCACTTGCACCCTCCCCCGTTCGCGATCGAAACCTTTTCCGCCGAATAAATTTAGTAATGATAATAATAATAATAATAATAATAACGTCGTCTGCTTACGTTTGTTTACCTTTTTCGTTTGCGCAAAAAGAATTTCAAAGTAAACAATACGAAAATTAAAAAAAAAAAAAAAATAAAACAGGAGTAATAATAATAATAATAATTAGTAGTAAAAATAGTAGCAAGAAATGGAAGAGGGAACTCCCGGGGGTGAAGGAGGAGCGCCGGCACCCGTCGAAACAACCGACGACAAAAAAATAGTTCACACGTATCCCCTAGTCAAGGTGAGCGAGCCTAAATAACCTTTCACCTTTCGTACCCGTTCAAAATGGTTCCCCTTTAATTCAGGTCCGTTATTCGCACAGACATGCGACATGCCCGAGGAAATGTGGACGGAAGTCATGGAATTGATCGTCACGGGTTGCGAAAAATTTTCAAGCAATTACGAACTCGCGTCCAAACTCATTAAGCAAGGGCTCGATCAAAGGTTCGGACCTCCCTGGAACATCGTCGTCGGAGAAGCCTACGGATTCGAAATCACTTATCTCGTCGGAAGTCTCATGCTCATGTACACGGGCGGAAACATTGCTTGCATATGTTGGAAAGCTCCCTGATGTTCATGCATTCGAATATCCGTCCGCGATTTCTTGTTTTCACTTATTATTATTATTATTATGTTTTTTTTCCCCAAACTGTATTCAATCGATCAATCAATCAATCAATCAACACCGATAAATATAATTATCGTTTATTTTTTTTTTATTTTTTTCATCGATCGATCCATCGATAGATCGATAACAAAACAAAATTTTTTAAATATTAATAATAATAATAATAATAAACCATTCGAAACCTTTAAGGTTTGAGGTCGTGGGGGCCTTATAAACCGACTCCCGACTTTGGTGCGTGCGTGCGTGGGCGTTTCGCCAGTCGTTCTTTTGTTTCTTTTTCTCATCTCTCTCTCTCTCTCTCTTTCTCTCCCCTTTTGTCTTCCCACATACGAGTTAATTTTAATGCTTTCTCTTGTTCCTTTTCCCCATTCTTTTCTATCGCTTCCCCCCTCCTATTACCTTCCCTCATCTGACACAACTTTTCCTATCGTTTCCCCCCTCTTCCTCCTCTTCCTCTTCCCTTTAATTCCATGTATTTAATTCTCTTTTTATTAATTTATACGTTTCGAATGACTTTATTAATAACAAATTCCCCCTTTCCATGCACACGTACACGCACACGCATCATCCCTTTCCCCCGTTCATTTGCCCCCCCCTTTTTTTTTTACAAATTGTAAAATTATATTTGTTGCACGTGCCAATGCAACAACAACAACAACAAACAACAAACAACAGATCATTTTATTATATTTCTCTCTCTCTTTCTCTCTCCTTTGTTTTTCGAAATCACAACCTGATATTATTTAACATGTAATAAAAAATAATCGCAAAGGGGGATGAAACAAAACAAAATGACAGAAGAATAAAAGTGGCGGCGGCGACGACGACGACGACGCTCACGTTTACATATACAAAATGAGAGAACGAAAAGGTAAGTAACAATTATTTAAGGGTGGTTGAAATAAAAAAAAAAAAAAAACAATAATTGAAACCGACGAAAAAAAAAAGAATTACGATAGGGGAGTCAAAAGGGGTGAAAGAAATCATCCCTTGGGGATAAATTTAAAATAAAAATACGATATCAATATCCATTTTAAATTTTTTTTTTAATTTACACGGGGAGAGAGGGGGAAGGGGAAGGATTGTTCCATCGGTTCGAGGTAAAATTCATCATCGTGACGACGACGACGACACATTTCCGGGGGGGAGTGGGGAGTGGGAGGAAGGTTATGTGCGGTACACACCCAGAAAGGGAACGAATTAAAAAAAAAAGAGAGAAAGAGAGAGAGAGATGGAAACACATTAACAAAAACATATTTTTTTCCAACCCTAACATTTCAAAAAATTAACATTTAACATTATTGCGCGGAAGAAAACAAAAAAAAAACAAACAACAAACAAACAAACAAACCCCTTTGAAAACAATCAAATCAAATTACCGTATTTTTATATATTAGCGGTTAAAAGATTTCCTCTGGAAAGATCTGGAACGATTGAAGATAAAAGAGAGATTGGGTAAGATAAAAACCCCGGGGGGTGAGGAGAGGAGGGAGCGCAAGAAAGGAGAGAGAAAGGGAGAAAAAAAACTTCTTCTTCGACTTGGGAATAATTACAACCTTTTACTTTTCTCCTTTCCTTTTCCCCACCCTTTCATCCTTTCACCCACCTTCCCATCCTTTTAAACTTTTCCCTTCCTTCTTCTACGTTATTGTTTATTCGGGCATTTACCATTAATTATTATAATACAATAATAAAACAAATTAGTAGGAGGGAGGGGGGAGGAGGAAGAAAAAAGGAAAAACATTTTCAAATCCCCACCCTTCCCCTCCCCTCTCTCTCCCTTCTCCTCACTCACTCACTCACTACGTTTTTCATTTCAACACGACGCGGCGTCATACATTTTTCCCGCTTTTTTTTTTTTAAAAACAAACCACAGCCTTCTTGGATTTTTTTTCCCTCACTTGAAAACAAAACGTAAACATAAACAACAACAAAACAAAAAACAAAAAAAAACAATAACAAATATGGAAAACGCGCGGGCAATGCCTTGAAACGTCGCATTTTAAAATTTTCAAGTTTTGTAAATATATATATATAGAAAAAAAACCAATTGGGAGAATCCATTTTTTTTTTTTTTTTTTTTTTTTTTTGGTTTGTCGGAAGAGGAAAATGAGGTCGGCCTATCAAACCCTTTTCGTCACCGTCGCGGGCCTTTTGTGTCACCTTCAAAGAATATACCCTATAGGTGCCGCCGGAGATGCTTGGCTCAATTGTTATCAACCCAATTCCGTGTCTTTTTGTTTCGTACTCGGAGTTTCCGTTTTGTTATCGTCCACGGAATTATGGCCCACGTCGCTTAGAAAACCGCCTCAAGTCATTTTGTTCATTTACCTCGTGAGTATATACAAATTATATCCTTTTCTTTTCCTTCTCCCCTGCCCCCCACGTTTTTTTCATTTTCTCTCTCTCTCTCTCTCTCTCACTCTTCAGCTATTGGTAACTGCGTTCACCGTGAGCATAACTCTAAGAACTGTTTGGTTGCCTCTCACCGTTTCCGTCGCCAAGGGGAATATTTGGCTGGCGAAAAAAGTAAGTTCTCTTTCTCTCTCTCACTCTTTCTCTCTTTTCCTGGCATTCTCTCGCTCACTCACTCACACACACATCAACTCATTTCAGATAAGGCAAATCAAAGCGTTTAAAAAAATCGGTTTGATGGATTTGTCAAATTTTCTGGAATCTCCGAAACTTCACACGGCGGAATTGGGAATCATGGCGATTATTTTTCTACATCACGCGTTCAGAATATCCGGACTGTATCGGGAATTGGCTAAAATGGCTTTTTTAATGACCATCGATTTTCCATTGAGAAAAACTCACGCGGTGAAAAAACAAGAGCAGTACTTTTACTGAGGTGGGGGGTGGGGGAGTGCGGACGGTGGCGACGGCGACGGCGACGACTACAACAAGAAACGATTTTTCTAAAACCGAACGAAATTTTGTAAAAGAAAAGAAAATTTTTTTGAAAAAAAAAAGGCGCGAAAATGATATACATCTGAATTTTTTTTTTTTTTTTTTTAATTTTCTTCTTCCACGTCATCCATCAATAGATTTTTTTTTTTTTTTTTTCTAGAAATTTTCTTTTCTTTTTTTTCGTTTTTTGTGTGTTGTTACAAACGACGTTTTTTGGCATTTATTTACGGTACTCGTCCTATCAATTTTAAATTCGATTGAACACAATCAAACAAAAACAAACAAACAAACAAACAAACAAACAGACAAACAAAAAAACCAAAAAATTTCATGTAAATATTTTTTTTAGAAAAAAAATTAAAATTAAAAAAAATGATAAATCTTTTTTTTTTCTTTTTTTTTTTATGGGGGAATCTCAGGTGCGAAACCAGGATTTGAAATGAATACCTTTAACGCCGTAAACCCCAAAAATCCATACAGTAAATAATACTTGCGGTCACGATAAGATTAAATTTGTATTATTTATTATTATTATTATCATTATTACTCTAAGATCCTACTTAAACCGCTCCTGGGTTTCCCTTCTCCCTCTCTTCCTTATTCCCTCCCCCTCCTTCCCCTCCCACACGCTACCTTTTTCGCGTTAACCTTTTGACACGCACGCAGGCACGCATTATTATTACTCTATGACCTTCCCTTCTCTTCCTCCTCTCACCTCCCCGCCTCACGAGTTTCGTAACTTTTTTTTTTCTTTTTCCGTCACCCATCCGACGAACCTTTCCGCCATATTTCTTTTTTCTCCCGATTTAAGACCTTTTTAAACTTTTCTTTTTTTTCTTATTTATACTTATATATATATTTTTTCCTTTTTTTTTTATTTCCTCTACCTTTTCTTCCTCCCCCTCCCTCTTCCTCTCTTTCCCCCCTCATTTCCACTTTAAAATTAATGTCGGCAAATTCTTCTTTTGTTTCTCTACATTTTATCACCATTTGTCTTCTCTCTCTCTCTCTTTTTTTTTCCTCTTTTAAACTTTCTTGTTAAATGTTTTTTATTTCTTTTTTTTTTGCTCTCCCCGTGCTAAAACCCCTCTTCTCCCCGTGCTCTCCCCGTTTTTTTTCTTCGGATTTCACCTTTCCGACGTTTAACTTCTTCATCATTTATTCCAAAACGTACCGCGATTCAATTAAAAAGGGGGGGATCGTCGTCGATCACTTAAAATCAAACACGAAAACATTTTTCCTTCCTTTTCCACCTTCCTACCCCCCTCTCTCTCTCTTATTTTCTCTCTTTTAACGATTTTTTATTCTTACTCCTCCGCAATAAGAAAAAAAAAAAAAAAAAAAAAAAGAGGAAAGGAAAAAATTTTTGGGGGGCAAAGACTTTATTTATGACTTCGCCACGAGTCGGCCTTATTCTCATTTGTCTCTCTCTCTCTCTCCCTTCTTCCCGTTCGTTTTTTCTCTCTCTTATTTTTACCCCTGTGAAAAACTTTACCGTGCCTGGAATTTATATTTAAACAATATTTTCTGTCGCACGAATGCCTTCCGGCCTTGAATTTCGTTTCCGTCGTCTCGCACTTTTCCTCTCTCTCAAAACGTCGCATTTTTTTTTCTTCTGCCACACGGACGGTCGCCATCCTGAGTTTTTTCTTTTCTTTTCTTTTCTTTTTTTTTATTTTATTTTATTTATCCCGTCTTTTATTTACGGTCGATTAGTTACGATTTCAGTCTTTATTTAGGTCGAAAGGAAAAATGGAAAGAGAGACGCAGAGAGAGACGCAGAGAGAGAGGCAGAGAGAGAGAGAGAGAGAGAGAGAGAGAAGAAAAAAAATAGTTACTTCATTTGTTTTTTCAAGTGGAATGTCGTTTGTCACACGGACTCAAAATGCTGCCATCTTTTTACTCCCACTTTTTTTTTTTTTTACTTTAGGGGAGGAGGAGGAGGAGAAGGGGAAAATTTTCTTTTTTTTTCATTTCCTCGCCACTCCGCCATTTTTTTTCCAATCTCACGAAAACAACCGCATCCGTAACCGTAGTAGTCGCATTATTTTCAAGTATTTCCAAACATTTATCGTTATTATTATTATTATTCATACCCGTTTCCCCCTCCCCACACTTTTCAATCGACCTTGACATTTTCGAGTTCGTAACCCCTTAATTGAAATCCGATTAAAATTAATTAATTCTTTTCTTTTCTTTTTTTTTTTTTTTTTTTAATTTAAAACGAAAACAACAGAACAACAGAGCGACAGAAAAAAAAAGGTTATGACGACATAAAAAAAAAGAAATCCGATCTCGTTATTTTTTAATGAAAATAAAAAAAAAAAAAAAAAAGAGACAAAAAAACGTAATGAAAAGGCTTAAGGTTGACGATGATGATGATAATAATAATAGTAATAATAATAATAAAAAGCTGAAAAAGGTTTTAGCCTATTAGACTTAACAAAGTTTAAACCGTAAAAGAAAAAACTATTGTGAGTGAGATTTCTCTTTCCCCTTAAAGGCTTCGGAAACATAATTGATCTACTTAACCGCCACCGCCACCATTTCGTAAAAAGAAAAAAAAAAAAGAAAAGAAAAATAGAAAAAAAAGAAAGAAAGAAAGAAGAGAAAAAAATTCTTTTTATTTTATCCCGAGGACGTAATAAAATAAAAAAGAAGTAAAAAAAGTAAGAAGAGGAAGAGTGAGAGAGAAAGAAAGAGAGAGAGAGAGAGAAAGAGAGAGAAGAAGAGAGAGGACGAAAGAGAAAGGAATACAATGAGAAAAAAAAAGAGGGAAGGAGGAGGAGAGGAAAGAATCAATGAAATTAAATACTTTGACTTACCCCCTCCCCACTCATCCCTATCAGCCCAAAAAAAAAAAAAAAAATTCAAAAGGAAATCGTAAAAATTACACGAGAGAGAGACAGAGAGATAATGATGATGATGATAAAAAAATGGCGGGGAATTTTTTTTTTTAATGTCTTCAAGAGTACCAACCCTTTCACATCTTTTCTTTTCTTCCCTCCTCCTCCAAAAAAGAAAAAGGGGGGAGGGGCTTCGAAATATTATTATTATTATTAACATAAACCCGAATCACAAAATTTCCCCTCCCCTCATTTTTTTTCATTTTCATAAGTTGTTAGCATAGCGTCGTAATCGTCCTGGAATTACTTATGATAGGTACGTTTATATATATATATATATATATATATATATATATATATATTTTTTTTTCATTACTTTCTTTTCTCTAGTGCCACGATAAAAATCATTTAAATACGTAATAAATTGTTTTTTTTTACTCCTCCTCCTCCTCCTCCTTTTTCTCCTTCCTCCTTCTTTCTTTCTTTTTTATTCGTTTTTTAATTTGACTCTTAAATGAAATTTCTACGAACGTTTTTCAACCGCCATTAATTTGAGAAAAAGAGAGTGGAAAAGGGGAGGGAAAAGCGGAGGGAAAAGGGGAAAAGGGCGGTGTGGGGGAAGGAAAAAAATTGGTTTTTAATGAGAAAAAGGGTAAAAAAAAAAAAAAAAAAAAAAAAAAACGAAAAAACGAAAAAAAAAACCAAAAAAAAGTCGATTGGGAAAGGGGAAAATAAGAGGGAGGGGGTGGAGGGGAAAGAGAAAAAAAGAAAAAATGACATTGCAAAAAATCTAATAAGGGAACCGTCATTAAAGAAAAAAAATCAAAGAATTTGATATTTCGATATTTGGAGAGAAAAGAGAGAGAGAAGGAGAGAAAAAAAGAAGAGGAAAAGAGAAAGAGAGAAAACATTCAAAAGCTCCCAATAGTCATCTGATTTTACATATGGGCTCTTGTACTTCCCCCCCCTTCCCTCCCCGTTCTTCCCCTCCCTATCCTCCTCCTTTCCAACTCTTATTCCTTCCACGTTACCTCCGCCGCTTCCATTCATTTGAACTCCCTAAAGCTCCTCATCAAAAAAAAGAGGAAAGGAAAGAAGAAAAGAAAAAAAAAAAAAAACTTCTTTCAAAAGACCATTTCAAAAAAAAAAAAAAAAAAACTCTGATTTATTTCTTTTCTTTTCATTTTTAAAGCATTTCAAATTGGTTTCTGAGGGTTTTTCATTTTGGGATCCCCAAAGAATACACCGCAAAAAAAAAGAGAGAGAGAGAGAAAGAGAAAGAAAGAGAAAGAAAGAAAAAAAATTTTTTTTTTTTTTCAAAATTTCCAATGGGATAAAAACATGACGGGAAAAAAAAAAATACAAGTATGAAAAAAAGAGAAGTAGACAAATAAAGAGAGAGAGAGAAAGAGAGGGAAAAAGGTAAATAGAAAGAGGAAGAAAAAGAGGAAAAGGTAAATAGGGAGAGAGAAAGAGAGAGAGAGAGAGAGAGAGAAAGACATTAAAAACATACACACACACACACAATTATTGCTCACGGTTATCTCAGAGTCGACAGTGGACGGCAAATAAAATAAAATCTTATTTTTCTTCTTCTTCCACGTCAAATTTTCCTTTTTCTTTTCTTTTTTTTTTTTTACTTCCTTAAATCCTTTTAAATTTTTTTTTTGCCCCTACCCCCTCCCACTCCCCTTCCCATTCATCTCCAAGTTCAAGAAAGGAAAAACGAAGAAAGAAAGAGAGAAAGAGAAGAGGAAATTTTTTTTTTTTTTTTTTTTTTTTTTTTTAACGGACGGAAGAAAAGAAACTCTTGAAAAAACTTATTTTCAATTTAAAAAAAAAAAAACCAAGTTTGAACGTGGAAGGAGACGAAAAAAAAAGAAAAAAGAAAAAGAAAGAAAAATTTTCAAAAAAAAAAAAAAAAACGTGTCATTTACTCCGCTGAATAATAATTAAATTTTTCTTTCTTTCTTCTTTTTCCACTTTTTCTTCTCATCCTCACCTCTTCTAACTCTTTAACCTCCGTCCCCTTCTCCCACTACCACCAAAAAAAACGACGTGTCGCAAGAATAAAATAATAAAAAAAAAAAAAAA